GGAATTCGCACATGCGGCTAATGTTGCTAATAACAATCAATTTAACAATTCATTGCCAATCGAATGATCTGTGCCGCCGATAGCGATGGCCAGTCACACTTGGCTCAATAAAGATGACGGCTCTCATCTATGTTGGACTTTCTTTCATTTCATTTTATTTAATTAGCCTGACATTAATAACAGGTGCTGGTCGATTTTTTATATGAGCGGTAACATGGAGCGCATATATATCATCATATTATATATATATATATATATATATATATATGTGTGTGTGTATGACGGTTGGCAAAAAATTAATTTTTTTCGTAGATTCATGAATACAAATGTTTGCAAATCAGTCTGTGATTAGTTGATAGATGTGATGCTCTGCATCAAATAAAAATGAAGGTAACCTGAGTTATTGTTATTTTGGAGTTGTGTTAGGTAAATAGTTAACCCTTTAATGACAACTCGTTAAGTTCGGCTGGTCCTGTTTATAACATCCACCATGAGTTGGACATTCACTTTATATAATTATACGCAACGTTTTATAAATATGTCAGAAATTTTCAAAATATCCAATAGTGGGGTTACCGTTATATAGGTATTATAACAAATTACAGTCAATTTGGCTGATTTGAAATTTGTGTGGTACTTTTATATGGGGCTACTCTTAAAAGTTGATCAAAATTAAAAATTGTTGGTAGGCAGATTAGTACCCAATTGGAATCCAGAGTACAAAATTAATGTTAATTCGCACGGAAAACCAGACCAATATTCCAAAAAAAACTGAATAATGAGGGGTACCGTTGTATGACACTACCCCGAAACATAGGTTAACATTGAGAATTTTTTGCAGAAAGATTTGAAGTACAATGAAACCCCAAAATACCAAATTACAGGCATAAAAATAGGATTGCTTATATAATGTGGAAAATATTATATTTCACAAGAATTTATTTTTTATCTATTATTTGAAGTATAAGTTTTGTTTATATACTTTATTACATTTATTATTTTATTCCTTTTAATATTTGATGCGCCCATCTTTGGTCAAGATAACTGCTTCTAAAATTTTTGGCATCGATTTCAAGAGTATTCAGCCTGTAAATGACGAATAATATATGAGAATAAATCTGGTGATTAGCACGTTTGGATTATTTTTCAATTATTTAATTTGGACTAAGCAACCCCTAGCATTTCAATCAACTTTACTTAAAGGAATGGACTAATGTCTTCCCTATATGGCTGATTCACCGCAATTACTGATAATGGGAGCATAGACCATTTCGGGGGGTAAATACCTGTTGACAAATGTTTTTTTAATATATAAATAACAACTGGGATACCCGATTCCTCATATTTTCCACCGAAACTTCAAGAATCAAGTGACCCCTACAAATACCATGGGTAACGAATGTGTTATTGGATAGGGCATAAAAAGTCCATTGGTAGATGACTAATGTCTGTTGCGGCCGTATATTAAGTAGTCTTTTGTAACAAGTGTTTTTGCCATAAAAAATAAATAAAATTGAATAATATAAAAAATAAAAAAGTGTATATCGACTTTCTATTATTCATCTCACCAATGTTATTCTTTGGTGATTTAATTTTCAGACACACCCTTAATCACCAGAAAGTGATTGAAAAATCGTTGGGTATTTTTATTTTTATTTCTATTTTTTGTTGTTATTTATGGCGAACAAAGAAAGGTATCCATCCCAACATTCGCAATCATTTAATTACAATTTATATAATTGTGAGAAGATGAGGAAGAAAAATATTCGAACGCCTAGTAATATTTTTCTTCTTCTTCTTTTTCTCAATTATTACAAAATACCATCGTTCTCTTTACAAGGAAACTATTATGAAAATGAAAGTTTGGCCATAAAAGAAGCCAACAACACACAATTTATGACAGCACCTCATAAAAATCTTAACTTTTTAATTAGTTTTTGTGTATTTTTTTGCTACGACTCATATGATTTTGCACAATGGGTCATAAGGTTAAATGTGCGGGAAGTTCATAATTTGTAAAAATTTATTGAAAAAAAATATATTGTTTAAGACAATGTGTACTAGGAACGAGAATAACAATGTTTTTTATGTTGAACATCTTTAAATGCGGGTTTTAATATATATTTTAATAAATTTGAATAAAAGGTGTTGTAAATCTGAGGCGTTAGATCTATGACGCTTTTTAATTCACTTTAATAAGATCATGTCGACCACTGCCCGTGATTTAATCAATGCTTGAAAATAAACATTATGATCCGTTCCGATACAAAAACACTAAAAAATAAAATTTTGTTCCACGCGCAGGGAACAGTCGTAGATCTTAAAATAGTAGAATTCCGCATTTGGAACACTAAAAAATCGTAGTATTCCATTAAAAATACGAATATGGGTAAAATGTACCATTTTACATTCTCGTTATTCAAAAGATTTAGGTGGCTTCATTGGTCAACACACTGAATACATTACTTCTACTGGGTATTATACAAATTTCCCATTGCGAATAATTATCGATAATCGAATATTATTTATAACCGTTATTATCCGTAATCCATTATTATCGACAGTCGATACTGTAGATTTTTCCGCCTAGAGTAGATGTTTTGATTTTCGTGAAATCTGTTGCATCAAAAATGTTAAATTTAAACCAGTAAGGAAAATAGAAAATTCGTGGCCAACTATATGATACCCTTCATCATGCTACAAAGATTTTTATTGTAACAGACGCATATACATAAAATTGGACGAAAATATATATGGGAGCTATATCTAAATCTGAACCGATTTTAACACAACTTCACACAACTTAATCTATACTTTATACAGTACTCTGTGCAAAATTTTGTCTTAGTCGGTCAGATATTGTGACTTGGATGAACTATTGTAGAATCGGACAAACCTATATAGATATATCTGCATCGATTTTCAAATTCTTTTGACTTTTACAAACATACGCACAAAGACATAATACCCTGTACCACAGTGTGGTGAAGGGTATAATGGGAACATTTCTAATGAATATGACCAATAAAATAGGAGTAAAAATATAAAAAAATAATTTAAACTCTTTTGGTGATACAAATCAGGGGTAGTTGTTGTAGGTTAGAACATGTCTAATCTTTGATCTTTGAGGAAGCCACAAACTTGTCTTTCGTCTTTCTTCATAAATATTTGGTTTATTACCACAAAGCCCATGTTGCCCTAAAATTACACATTCCAGAACTTTATTTTATCGGTTGACAAACAAAATCAAAATTTTAAAAGTTTAAAATCGATTTTGAACATGCTTGACAAAATCGAAAGATCGAACATTTTTAGTCATAGGCAACTGTGTATAACTATATATCTCTACTATTACTTCGGCCAATAATAAATGACAGGAAGATAGTCAAAGCAAAAACAAACAACTCTTTTTAAAATCCAATTTGGAATGAATGACTTTTTCAGGTGGATATAGTCTCAAAAATGTTATGGTATTTAAAAAATATGATTTTCTATAATTTGAGGTTTCTGTTGATCAGACAGCAAGAAAATTATTTCTGTAATTCCAAGTTTTTGAGCTTTACGCACTGTAGGACTTTAGTTATTTTCTATTGCTGATTTATTCATCATAAGGGAGATCGAACATTATATCATTAGTACTTCATTGTAATCGAATAGTTATGTTTCTTTTGCAATTTTTATTAGTTACATTATTTATAAAGAGATGTTATTGTAATAAATATTTTTCTAAAACTCATTCAGCGTTTTCGAAATGAACAAGCTGACAGCTGACAACGATCAAAAAGGTAACGTGAAAGTTTGCAAACGATTGTGCGAAGCTTATTCAACTTTCCCGAATCGCCCAAAACAAATTGATTTTGTTGTTGTTATTATTATATAAAGTAATTTGTAATTTATTATTGCCAATTGTTGTTGTTGTTTACATTTCAATCAATAAAATAATTGCAATCGTCATTATTGTTGTTGTAAATGTAATTATTGTTAAAAATTAAATAAAATAATTTATATAACCATATAATTATCTAATGTTTATTACTTAATAAAAAAGAAAAGAAAAAAATAAACGTTACATTACTTTCCTTAAACTAATTGTTCGCTTGTTTATGATCGATTGTGTGTGTGTGCGTGCATGTGATGAGTGGGTGAGTAGGTGAATGTGGGTCAGTATTCATTTGTGTGAGTGTGGGCCTTAAATACAAAATTAATGAATTGAACCTAAGTTATGTCGATGCGTTTCTCATCCCAGTTGAGGGGGGAATTTCGATGATATGTCTGTGTCTGTATCTGTGTTGCCTACTCATATTTACAATTGTTGTTTCACATTCGTCTTTTTTATAATAAAATGGATTAAGATCGGATATTTGTTGTATACTTTAAAAAATAAAACTCTAATCGATTCAAACTAATTTCAAGCTCAAATGAAATCAGTCGTTTCAATGGTTATATAATACAAAAAACTGTTTAGACCAATATCTCCAATTTGGATATTTTAGAGGACCGTAAATCCCCAAAAAGAATCTTGTTCAAATACGCTCGTATATATTTGCAAAATTGGGTTTCAGTCCTGAACAATCCTCCACAGAAACTGAATATAACCAAGGAACAAGTTGATTTCGTTTGAGATTTGCATTCGCTGCACATTATTGTCGTACTCTTGTTCTTGTTTCTGTATGCATGTATGTCTGTGTGTGTGTTTTTTAAATAAGGAATATCGAATCACATCAAAATAATCACTTGTAAATAATAATAACGAAAATTATTGCTCTAATTTGTTAAAATAACGAAATATAATAAATTAGACAAATTAAATAGGGATGGGTTCGAAGTCGCTACTCAACTAAGGCATTAAATAAAACTACACTAAACACTATTGTCTACAATAGCTCGATTTACATAGGTAACTAACTAACTAACACATACATATATAAATACAAATGATGATTATTTACTACAGATGTCGTCGATCGGTGATCGTCGATGCTGAATTGAAGTATAAGCCTAAAATTGTAAAATCTGATTGATCCAGTCTCTGAATTCGGAAATTCTTGTATAAACTCCTGGCTGATTTGCCTCGGCACAGCCAATGCCCCAGGAAATAACGCCGCCCAATTGGAAACGTTTGTCGGATTCACGTTGCAGAACCATGGGTCCACCAGAATCACCTGAATAGTAAATAATACGAATTCATTAAAAATATTATAAATACATTTTATGTCGTTCAAATATACCTTCACATGAGTCGTAACCGCCCTTCTTCCATCCCGCACAAATGAATATGTGCGGTATGTGTTCAATGTAGCCGGCAGATCGGTACATGGATTCACAAATGGTGTTATTGATAACGGGAACTGCAACCTCCTGCAGTACACTGGGTAATGGGCCGTCCTCATAGAGACGACCCCACCCAGTAACAAATGCTGTTTGACCAATGAAATCTTCATCGCTGTCTGGCACACAAACGGGTATAATGTTCGGTTGGAATGTGACCGGTTCATAGAATCTGCAAATATGTAATTAAATTGTTTTTATTGAAATCGATTTAAATATGTTCACTATATGGAGCATACCTTAATAGTGCCAAATCATATTCGAATGTTCGTGGGTCGAATTGCGGATGAGAGGCTACAATTTGTACTCTTCTTTCTTGGTAACCGTAGGGTTCTTCCTCTTCAGCCAAATCATATTCACCCAGACGCAATAGAAGATCCGAAGGAGGAACACTAAAAATTTAAAAAAAAAATAATTATTTATCTATCTATCTATTTAAATATTTTATCATTTAATTAATAAAATCTATTATTGTTTTTTATAATTAGAACTCTCTAATCGTTTTTCTTAACAAATCTATTTAGACTTTTACATTTTTCGATACAAACAATTTAATATATGTCTTCGGAGTATGAATATATGTTTCTAGGCATTTATAATTATTTTCTTGAGTATTGAGCGGAACGTAGCTATGATTGCGTTAAGGCCTCGGCTACTACTAGGTTATATTTTGTCCGGAAACGGATTTTAATGAATACAACACGTTTCAAATTTTATCGATTATAAGAAATATCCAATGAATATATTTTTTGCAATGCTGAAATGAAGGAAATGCCTGATTTGTTTTTTTGTTAGGATTTCAAAGCATAGTTTTTAAATTTAAATTTGTATATTTAAAATTTTCTATTTACACCTATAATTAATATTCTAATTTTGTGTTTAATTTTTTTTCTATTTTCAGGTAAGAAATTCGATTTTGCAGAAATTTGTTAATGTAAGTAAAACCTATAACACCTTCAAGTTTATTTAAAAGAACATATCAGAATGGTGAATAAATAAATAAAATAACTGATATACGGATCTTCATATCTCAACTATCAGTATTGATTGTGTCCATCCGTCCCTACATTATAATTGGTATAGACCGTAGTTATGGACCATCGTCACGTACTTTAGCACGTATTTTCGCTTCTAGCCATATACAAAACCTATAAATCTATAATTTTTACCACATATACATTTTTCGATATTTCAAATTATATGAGCATGATCGCACTTTCAAAACTCGCAATGATTGTTACTATGTCCTTTGTATCTAGTTTTTAGCATCAAACGAGAATTGAATTCCCCGATATCGACTTACTTATCTACACAATGTGCCGCGGTAATGGCCCAATTTTCATTCAGCAATGCTGCTCCGCACTTATGCAAATAGGTCGATGTACGCCACTGCCTCAGAGATATTTGCCATGGCCAACGTCCAAAGGCGGCATTGGAACCACCAACAATACGTGGTTCGGGGAACATTCTACGACCGCAAACTGAAATGATGGGGAAAACGATTACGATTATACTCTAGTCATACTGCCAACTGGGTCATCAATTACCTTGTCTATAGTCGACACCTTCCAAACTGTTCGTAATGGAGACATTCACCGCCAGACTTTCGGGACTTTCAGTGGTGAATAGATCAACAATTGGAATATCTGTGGCCGGGGGCTGTGGTGGTGTAATAGATGACGCAACAAATGGTGCTTCGGTAATGGGTTTTGGAGGATTTGTTGATGGTATAGGGTTTTGAGTTGTGGTGGAGGTAGTTGTTGTGGTCGATGGTGTGGTGGGTTTAGGGGTTGTGGTTGTTGTCGTTGTTGTTGGGGATGTATATTGAGTGGGAGGTTTATGTGTTGTTGTCGTCGTTGTTGTGGTGGTGGTGGTTGTGGGCTTAGGTGTTGTCGTTGTTGTGCTGGCGCTAGTTGTAGTGGGTTTGCGTGTCGTCGACGTTGTGGTACTACTGGACGATGTCTGGAAGATAATCGGTTTTTGTGGTGCTGAAACAAATATGGTATTGTTATTCACCACAGCACTAATACTGGTGGATACAGAGACACCAAGTTCCTCGTATTTATTCGATTCGATATCTTCTGCAAAAAGAAATATTAAAAGTAATTAATATTAGGACAATTTTTTGAATAATTTTGTCATAAATCTCATTTATATATATATATATCTTAATTTCTATAACGTATCATAACATTAAAAATTGTTAATTTTAAAAGTCTTAAATCTGCCACTAAGATCGCTAACAAATTAGGTTATACTGACAATTTTAATAGAACTTATTTTATCCGCGTGCTCTTAGCATGTCAATAATAATCAAAGGTCGTAAATCTCGACAGCAAAATTCGATAGTTTTAATTATTTGAATGGGGCGCCAACCAAATAAGACCCTACAGTTCTGAACGCATGTTGGGTCTGGAAAACTTACCCTCTGTCTTATTAGTAACACTGGGACCTGATGTTGTAACTGGTATCCAAGAGTCTGATGCTTTGTTTGGATCAATGGGTTCGGTGTCAATATTAGTCCACGTTACTAAGCCTGGCTTTTGAGTGGTGGAAATGCTGACCACAGGTGCATCGGTGCTTTGAATCTTTGGTGGCATAGTCGTCGTCGTAGTTGTTGTCTTCTTAGTGGTGGTATGAGGTTTCTTTGTGGTCGAAGTTGTGGTAGTTGTTGTTGTGGTGCTGCTGGATGCAGATGTACTGGTTGTTGTGGTCGACGTTACTGGTACCTTTTTGGGGGCTTCAGTTGTAGTGGGCTCTTCCGGCGCATGGGTAGTGCTTGGTTTGGGTCTGGGCTTAAATGAAGTAGTTGTTGGTCTGGGTACCTTGGTAATTGTGGCTGTGGGTTTCGGTTTGGGTCTATATCCAGCGGGATATTTGGTAATGGTGGCATTTGCTGTTGTTGCACTTAAATTTGTTGTTATTGTTGTGGTGGTGGTGGTGGAGGTTGAAGTGGAGGCAGCCACGGATGTATTTTGTTGCTTCGTTTGATCCGCCATTGTTGTGGGCAATTGTGGCTTGGTGCTTGGTTTGACCGTTGTCCGTTTATTGCTCTGGGGTTTTTTCGTTGTACTGGGTTTTCGACTGGTTTGTGGCTTGGGTTTTATTGTGGGTCGATGGGCTGTCGTTGCTGTTACATTGTGGGCCAGGGTTGGAGCAACGGTAGTTTGTGGTGACTTGGTTGTTTTTGGTGGTACAATGCGTTGCGTGGTAACAAATTCCATTAATTTGGTCGGTTCGGTGGGTGTTGCCACAGTGGTTTCCACCGTTTGGAATGTGAAAAGTTTTGTGGGTGGTGTGGTGACCTCCAAGGGCAATTCGTCTTGTGACAGTTTGCTGTTGGCTGTGGTGGTGAGAATTGGTCGAGGTGTAGTAGTAGTGGTGGTGGTTGTTGTCGTCGAAGTTGTTGTTGTAATCTTCTTTTTCTTGGTCGTTGTGTTATACAAGGGTTTTCCACCACCGGTGCTACCTTTTGTCGGCTTAGCTGTGGTTCTAATCACAAAATGCGACTGTTTGTGGGTGGTGGACTGTGGAGGTTTGTTGGTGGTTGTTGTGCTGGGCTTTGTGGAACTGATTGTGGTGGCATTTGTCTGTTGTGTAACCGGCCGGCGAGTATGTTGTTGTGTTGATGCTGCCGAAGCCATGCTCTGTGTAACAATGTTGGATATTTGAGTCAAATCGGCTTGTGGCTGTTGCAAGGTAGTATTACTGTCAATGTGTGTTCCCAAAGTTGTCAACTTGAACAAAGCACTTGTAGGCATTGTGGTGGATTCCGATGTAAAGTGATGCGATATGGTGTTCTGATCGATGCTATTATCTCCGATCTCAGGGGCAAACAATGCACCTTCATCCTGTAAAAAAAATAGAATTTAAACTTGAATTTCAATTTCGAAAAACAAATAGGGTTACTCACCTTGATGTCACAACACGATCCGAAATAGAAGCGATCAATACAGGTGCCCAAATGTGTTCCATTCTGTTTGATACAATCGATGGCGAACATACACACTCCTGATCGTCCAGATTTCCTCACTATGCAGGGCAAATGTCGTATATTTCTACCCGATTGAACTGAAATGGGAAATGAGGAGTTTCTATAATTAGATAGTGCGGTGTAGAGGGAATAATAGTAGCGTGTGACATGATTCCATGCTAATGTGGAGTGACAGGCTATTGTCCAGTTTTCTGAAGTGTCTCACTGTTTTGTTAAACGTTTAGAAAGTTTTCATTCCCCAATCTCAGTGAGAAGTGGGAAAATATCAAAAATCGTTTTTCTTCTGCGAATTTCATGGTTGTTGTTTTTGGTGTGTGTGCGTGTGTTTGTGTCTGTTGAATGTATCTCCTATTTGTTCAGTGGTATTTGGGTTGTTTTAGTCGCTATCATAATATCTTATTCTTCTTCTTCTGCTTCTCCCCAAAATCAAGCTGATGGTGATGGCAGTAATTTCATATAATTAACGTAATAAATTCTAAATGACTTCCTTCTCTAGCTTAGATGGGTTTGTAAAAGCGATCGGCAGCAGACGATAGTCGGTCGTTTCAACCAACTAACTAACTGACTAACTGCTTCTTGCGATTTTCTTTGTATTGCCGGTGGAGCGGCGGGTCTTCAAAATGCGGTCACTCAACGGCAAAACGCCTGGCTACTGACCATCATTGTCATGGTATTCTTCTTCCTCTTCTTCGTTGCGTGTAAATGTGATGCCACAGTACCCAGCTCCACAAATCATTTGCTTGTCATTGTGTTGGTCTTATCTGCCGGGCTGTGTGCCGAATGGAAGAACGAACGCTAATGACTTGACCATCCCATTTGGTGTATCTCTTACTTGGCTTAAAAACAGTTTACACGATTTACGATTTGTAGCCAACATTTAAATCCTCTCTCATATCGTATATTTGACGTATATCATATTTCTTGTGGTAACTGATCCTGCATTTCGACTTCTTAAAAAGGGTCAATGAAATTGTTATGAGTGAGAACTTAAGGAAAGATATAAACAACAACCGTTTTGTATGTCGATGAAGAATGAGAAGACACAGAGACACTACACATAAAGTTTGGAATTATTTTTGTGCCTTGGGTGAGTTATGTGGGTAATGCTGTATATTTAGTAATCGGATTTGCAGGAACAGAATTTACATGAACAGAAGAACGCCATTATTCAACGTTAATCAATTTGAATTAAACAAATTTGCCCCCTTTTGGATATTATCTGCAACACTCTTATAGTTATATTTCATCCGTTTCCGTCATTATTTTCCTGGCTGGCTTCTTTAGACACATATTTGGATTTTATTTTCTTTTAGGATATTAATTAATACACAAAAGTACAAAAGTTATTCATGATTTTATTCTGAAACGTATTTTTTGGATGAATATTGTCTTACAATTTATAACTATTTCGGAGAACAACATCTGGACATTTCGTATAGAGAAAGAAGGAAAAACGAACTACATATACAGTGAATACAAACAAAACCTATCACAGGCGACCCGTCAATCTGAATTTAATTGTGGCCTATTAAGGCTAACCGACAAATAGTCCAGATGTCAGTCAGTCAGGCATCATTGATGATGGTAACATTTTTCAGGCAACTCACAAAAGAGTTGCCATTAAAGACTACACGAAAAGAAAGACATTGGAAATGCTCAGAAAAAAAAAGAATAAAAAATCAACGGCAATTAGCATCCAAAACAAACAAAAAAGTTGAATAAGTGAAAGGGAAACACAATGAACTTCGTTTTTTTATTTGTTGTTTTTTAACAGTGAAATTTGAAAAAAAAAAAATCAAAAGTATTTAATAAAATGTTCATCTCGCTGAGAGAAATACAAAAGCTGAAACGGCAGATATCTAAGTGTGCCAAAAGGAAGATAGCAGCAACGATCGGGAGGGCTGAGACGAGATATAAGATAAGGTTGCATACACGGCTCTAAGGCTTTGTTTTCATTGTTTCTTCAGCCATCATAAAAAAACGTGAAAACATACATGACGACACACATACGAATGTAGTTCTACTGGCACAGAGAACGACCCACCAGTCAAGCGATCAGCCAGCCTGCCCCCATCGGCCAATAAACAAAACACTGTCGACGAATGGCAGCGGAATTATAAGGAAGCACAGATAGATATTCGGAATATGTGAGACAGTGAAACAGCACGCGACCTACTTTCATTGCGACAAACACCAGCACCACCGACCGCACCGCTATCACCATCACCGGCAGCAGCGACAAATAACCAATATTACACTTGGTCGATGAATCGTGCGGTCGATTGGTAGGCAGTCAGTTAGTAAGTCACCCACAAAAACAAAACAAGCGATACGACCATTGTCTAGGGGGCCCTGTTTGCCAAAGAACCCACATTCCCATATATTCAAATTCTCAAAAAGACAGCAACAACATCAACAACCAACCGTGGACGAATTCACAAACAAAAACCACTGAAAACATTCTCGCCAATAACATCGACAACAACAACAATCGGTAGCTGCGCTCGTAAAATTAGTCGCAACGACGTAGACGGCGCATGGGCGCAAGTTCGTTTTTTGAAAGCCCACAACTGGACATTAAGCGACTGCGCAGCTTTCCATATGCTACAGCTCAACCGGCAGCCGAAATTTGACGTTGGCGCAGATGAGTTGCTGTTGTTTTGGCTTTTAGTCGCTGTTGTGTTTATCTATCATTGATTGGCGTTGGTTGTTTTGTTGGTAACATTAACGACGACCACATCGGCTGTGAGTTAAGTGATGGTACACAATAGCCGAATGGCTAGCCGACTATTTGGCTGACCGACCGTGCGACGATCTGGCCGTCTGACTGACGCATGACCCAAAAAGAATATAATATTTAAAATACTCCAATACTTATAAGAGCCGCAACAACAGCAATAACAACGCCAACAACAACAACAACCAATATTGACGCTGCAGAGCAGTGATTTGACTTTCCAAGCATTTCGCCGTGTGGCCAAAGAAATGCAATAGACAAACTGTCAGATAGACGGACAGGCAAATGTTTTCTGTAATAGCAGAACCACTTCTATTTTTAACCCACTCGGGTGCAATTAAAATCAAATGGTTTTGACGGTAGCACAATTCTTTGAAATCGACAGGTATAAATCGAACGAACTATTTAAAAGTCGAAAGAATAATTTGTAACGATTGTTATTGTTTATTTAAACGATAGAAACCAATGTTTGCAGACAGATAATAGGCGTATTTAAATATTAACCATGGTACTTAGAACTCGACGATAGTTTAATAAATGCGACAAGAAGAATTTTAACATATGATGGGCATAGGTTTAATAAAACCTCATGAGCAAAAAAAAGTGTAATCACCCTATATTTGTAGAACAAAGAGAAATATGTCGAATATAATAATACCCTCTATAATTTAGATTATTTTTTTAATAGATAGTAGATTTAATAGATTTACATAGATTACAAATAAATTTCATAAACAAATTCACTTCATACATAAAATATGTCGCACAGAACTCTATTATGAATATGAACATATTTAAAAGTATCCGTGTTTTCAACAATGGGTTAATGGTATGTCTTAGGGGCATTAAAAAAATTCCTACCAGATCTTCCAAAGAAAACGTGCTTGCCATGACTCCGGCTGTGGTTTGTTTGCGGAATATATGATTGGCCATTTCGTTTTCTGTTATCTTGAAATTGTGAATGAGTCAATAAATAGTGGAAGTAAGCAATTTGTAGTGTAAATAGTTGGTCAGATGGGCGAAAAGACGTACGACGGTCATTGGTAGTCATATCCATACATACGAGTATATAGGTATAAATGGTGTAGTTCTGCGAGAACTCGTTTCCATCCATTAGTAGCTGAGTTTTCTCCACTGCCACATTCACATTCTTGACAATATCGGAATATGATATGACTGTAAGTTTGGTGGAGGGGGGAAAAATCTTGGTTAACAATTGGTCATTTGCCAGTCCAGCTCTTGTAGTCCTTAACCAGCCTTGCAGATGCATTCAAATGTGCAATACTCAACATCCACCGGTTGCAGTCAAAGTTATTTGTCTTGGCAAATAACTTGCCAGACTGGAATGGATGTGAGTGCGCTGATGTTGATCTTTATGCAAATCTGTGTCGTAGTCCCGTTAGAATGGAATTGATTCGTTGCTGCTGCAACATGTTGTGTTTTTGTTTTATGCCGCACTAATTCGTTTCCGATGCACCACAGATAGTACGGCTGGCATGAAGTCAACTCATAAACACTGGCATGTGGGGTTAATTTGTTTTGGCGAACCTGCTTCGTAAGGGGAACAACATATGAAGACAGACAAATTTGCGGGACATGCTCACTGTGGGACTACCTCAACCATGGAGTAGTTGATAACTGGCATTGCTGTTGCTGTTGTTGTTTTTGTTTTTATCAAATTCCCACAGTACACGTCTTGAAAATTTGAAGAAATGAAGAAATTTGCCTAGATAAAATCAACTGAGATTTCATTGTGAGTGTAAATATTTAACTATGAAAGAAGTCAAACAATGGTGCTGGCTGAGTGACTGACTGACGCTGCGGGTTTACCTTTTCTTGTTGTAGTTTTTTTCCTCCACATTTTGTTTAACGTATTTGTTCCTAAAGATAAGAAATCCATCAGATAATTACGTGAGAGAAAGTTAAAAAACCGCTGTCACTGATTTAACAAAAACAAAACAAACAAAGACCACAAGAACAACAACTTCGGCAGCAGCAAATGGCAGTTATACTAACTGACTGACTGGATGGCTGGTGGGTTGGTTGCCTGACTAACAGACTGACTGGTGTTGTTGGAGATGTGTTATTTGGAAATTTTCTGAAAAGTGGAACATTTAATACGAGACAGGTTGCTGTGGCCGAGATGACGCTGTTGCTGGTTGAAAGTTGGTGGGTGTGTTGTTAACGCTCATGCCACAAAGCGTAAGGCAGTGCATACATTCACACACACACAAACAGGAAGCACACATATAGATCAACTGGTAGCAGTGATCAACTTCTACTCTGTAATTTATAACGAATTCCTTGTAAAACGGATGAGCTCCGATGCTTTCATTGCTACTACAAGCGTTTAAGCAAAACTTCTATTTTATGCCACATGAATTGTTTGTGTATCTGTTACTAACACACTCTTCTAATGGAAACCTGATACATGCCAGCACACCATGCCATGCCATACCAAAATATAAAACGGGTTAGATAGAACAAGTGCGCCTACTTCTTCATTACTAAAACAAACAAATCGAAACTTTGTTCTCATGGAATTTATGGTATGGATGATGTCGAAAGAGTTTTATTTTTATTATTAAGCCAACAAGAGGCATAGTATTCGATTTTGGCTGTGAAGAACGTGCCAATGTCAGTGTCCCATGTAAATTAAATTATATTTCGTAAAAGTAAAAATTTCATTTTAGATTAGAATTTTTGCAGATTTTTTGCTGCCGATGCATTATGAAATACTTTTATATCTCTTCTCGTATAATTTTTGCCCACAATCAAGGGCTCTCAAAGAGAAGAATTCGTCTGCAAAAGCAATTTACCACCACGCTAACAATATTTTGTGGCATAGAGTTATCTAATAATAAATATTATTGATTATTAGCCTAAAATTAATTCGACCCGATGCCGGTGATCTGGATAAAAACTGCTTTGCTGTCGTATATACGCGTGTATAATTGTATTCTAATCGGACCCATACATTCAAAATTTTTAAAAACAGGTTTCAGAATTGTTCTTAAGTTAAAATCGTTCATAACGATATATCGATTGTAAATACGATAGCCTGAAATCCAAAAAATCTGCCATACATTTAATAGGTACATTTCAGGGTCCATCCTGGAATGCATGATTCTACATTTCTTGGCCTACTTAAAATGTCCACATAGATACAGATATATACATTGCACTTGTTTCTGTTGTCAATTTTAATATGAAGTTGCACTTTTATGGACTGTTGACAAGTACACGATAATAGCTAAATTACATTGATACAAAACAATAGACTTAAGACACAAACATGTTTTGAACCACGACCGCCTTTGGCTTCACACAATTAAAATAGAAAACAAATCTCTTTCGGATGTGATAAAAAAGAAATTCCAACATTTTGATTGACATTTGAGTCTAAATATTTTTGTTTCTACTTAACCGACATCGTTGTCTACAATATGCTAATAGCTAAAGAACTACTATTGTAGTTGCTTTCATTCTCTGCTGCGTTGAAATGGAAATGGATAAGAAAACAAACAAGGTTTTTTTTTGGACGCTAAAAAAATTCCTAATGCTATTCGGGTTATGAACTTACATTGTGCTAAGCTGGGATTATCGACAAAAACGGGATTCGCCGATGCGGTGGTTATGAACGTCGCCAGAACTAGTGTCGTTATGCTGATCAAATTCATGAGGCTGCTTAGCCGGCTCCTGGTGCTGGGCTTTGTCTTCTGTACTGTTGCGCTGGAACTGCTGCTGAGCTTCTGATATTGACAACGACGTCCCGGATGGCTCTGGTTTTTGATCTGTGTGAAGTGTTTTCTCAGTTTGGTGCAGAACATGGCTGCTGCGGATGGCGTTTCTTTGGCTTGGCAGGTATTTTTTCCGGTGTTCGTAGTTACATAATCACAATGTATGGGGGGCGAACTACTCGTCGCATTCATTGGTTTATCTGGCCCCATCTAAAACGAGAGAAAAAAAAAACAGATCACAGTTAGTCACTACGCCCTACTAAAAATACAGATAGCATGCCATCCTCACACACAATAGTTAGGGTGTGTGGTCAACTGGGTAACAGCAACGAAGTGAGTCATTTCAAATGAATTTTCTTTGCACAAGAGTTTTGGAACCGAAAACATCGAATTGACCTGGTCTTATGAATGTAATTGGTATATTTATATGTGATGATTAATGAATTTTCTTGCAGCTCCCAATGACACACCACAAAAGCGGCTTTTTTTGTTTGGAAATCAAATCCAATTTTACCACACTGAGATGGACAGTTTCTTTGGAAATGCCTGAAAAGTTATTAATCGGCATTTCTTACTAACACTTCATTAACAAAATTGCCTAACAGTTTGACTTTCTTTCAACCAAAACTTCCCTAACCAGTAGTTTCATACAGCGTCTGGCTCCCTTTTACCGCATGTCTTTATGTTTAATTCATAACAGTTGTGTGTAGAGAAAAACAAAAAAAAAGGCTAAGCGAAAAGTAAAAAGTTAACGCCACTGTCTTAATATGCCAGCCTAAATGCCTTTTGTTAACTTAGAACAATGTTCTTCTTCGAATTCGCCATCATCACCTCCAACTCTGCCACCGTTCTTGTCAACGTTTTTTCTTCTTGTTTTTGTTTCCATCATCTCCATCTACACTGATGAAGACATGAGGAATTATGTCTACCTTTTACGCCGACATAACTCTTGCGTAACAGGTCGTTGACACAAACATCTCTAATGACAATCACAATTTAGTTTTTTGCCAAGAACGAGAAGAAAGAAAGGTTCTTGTTTTGTATGAGAAATGACAAAAAATACAAAAATGAAAAAGAAATCAATAAAAGCAATGTTGAAAAGCTGAAGAAATTTCGAATTGAGTTACTGCTGGCACACACTTTTGAAAAATATAAAATATAAGGATGAGATTTCAGGAACTATGGGAATTTAATAAGTACGACCTGTTTGGATATGTAAATGATCATTTATTCTGTTCTAGGTAAACTTCAAGTGTAAATACGAGTCAAATTGATCATAGCCCTCCGTCCCTGTATTTATAATACTCCATTCTGTACAAAGGTTTAGAATTTGGTGCCTTATAGCGAATACATACAGACGAAAACGTTTATCACGACTATATCCCGAATTGCTGGCCTATATAATCTACTTTATAACAATATATCGGTTGTAACGTCCGGGATTTGCAAAATATTCGAATTTTCATATAAATTTTAATGTCGTTAATAAAGACCAAACTCGCCGATCTCTTAACCATCGTTATGTCGCCCATATGAATATCTAATTTCAAAATATTCCAAATGTTGGCTAAAAACTGGCTCTTTCATTGCCAATATAGACACCAGGTATTTTCCTCCTTTCCTTTAATTTAAAGGACCACTTTTTAAAATAACCATATTATAATTTTATTTACTGTTTTCAAAATTTAATGTGCAATACTCAAAAACTCTTGCCTGTGGTCAGTCTCATTTCCTGGTGATTACGAAGATGTTATTGTGTAAGACGGGTCATTTCGACATTCTGAAATTTGTTAGGACATATAGGAAATTTTTTAGAGATTGATGATACTGACTGAACACAGTTGGTATTCGGTCTTACAAATCTACTTTCTCCTACAATGCAATGTGACATTCTTAATATGTTATCCTTTTATAACGAAATATGTGTAAATAAGTCTATAAATAATCGAAACCTGCTACTCCGACAATAGTTTTCTAAAATTAAATTCATTTTTGTATATGTATGCGTATTTGAAGGCAAAACAAACATACAAAATTCACCAGTTGATATTGATGTTCCGATACGGCTATCTAAGCTGACTGCTAATCTGTTGGCTGCCATTAACAGGTTCTCAAGCACGAGATTTTGGCCCAATTTCCATAACCAAAATGAAACAAAAAATCACACCTAGTAGTTTAACAGTGAATTTGGGTCACGTTCTTTGTGTTCGATTTGCAAATAATAATCACAACTACAATGGATATCTATATTTGTATGTATGTATAGGTGTGTGAAATCCAAAAATATCAACAGAAAAAAAAAACAACAAAAATATGTAAAAAGTGGATTTTTTTATATTTCTTTTTGAAATGCTATACAATTTCAGGGATTATCTCCAAAAAGAAATATTTGGGTTTCTGTAACAAAAACATTTGCAATTGAAGATAACCAACCATTGGTCGGACATTTGCCCGGCAGCTTCCGTTTTGATTTTAGGGTCTCACACACTCACACATACCCAATGATTAGTCATGAAATAAAAACGCACTACTAAAAGTGAAATTAATTTTTTTTTAATATTTTTGTTGTGGTTGTTGTTGATGTTGTTAGTGTATCGCTGTATGAGTGTGCATTTGTGTGGTCGTATCCATATCTGTGTATGATGATGGAAGGGAAGTTTTACAATCGCTCTCTATGTGTTGGTGACTATGAATATATACGGGTTTTTTGTTTTCAACAGCTCAGCCGTTGTGTTGAGCATTTGTTGTTTTGTTAAAAATATTTGTTTTTTTTTTATTTGATCAACGAGAATGTTAAAAAAGCGAAAGTTTTTTATTCAGACTATATTGAGCGAGAGGGCCAGCTAGCAGCCATAAATGGCAGCTTTTACCCACACTTTGGCCTTTTTGGTCTGTCATAATTTCTTGAATAAAAGTGAAAAGCAAACGAGCGAGCAAATGTGTTGCTTGGTTCGCGACATCGCAATTTGGGCCAAAGTTGGAAAGAATCTGCTGCGGGAAGATGCGACCGGCCGTGACAGTGGCCGCAGACCAGCAACCGAACCACCGCACATTATGTTAATGTTGATGTTCACAAAAATGCTAATACATAACAATTTGTCAATCTTTCTGTCGTGAGTGTGAATGTGTTTTATTTTGTTGGCATATTTATGGCAATTTTATTGACATTAAAAAAAAACGAAAAGAAAATAAGAAATAATTTCCAAGACTTTTCTCAGATTAGCAAAGCTCAACGGCTAATTCGCAGCAGTAGCAACAAAAGAATGAATTACAAATTTCTATTTTTCGTATTAGACTTGTTTTCTTTGAATTCATTTCACCGTTCGTGCGTCCGGTCCGGCCGTCATCACCGCTACCACCGCTACCACCACTGCCAAACAAATTATAACGACATAATTTTTATTTTTAACAACTTTTACTTGAACATATAAGGCGGGCCTTTGTTGAGGCATTACAACATTTCTTCTTCTTTTCGTGTGTTTCTTTTGTTCGTTTCTTTTTTGCGCTGAATGATGGACGAAGAAAAGGTGTGAGCGTGGTTGATGGGGATTTTTTTTATATTTTTGGTCTAATGGCAATAATGGATGTACACAGTTATGCGAGTAATATTTGTTTGTTTTCTTTATGATGTCTTGTTTTTGTAAAGTATATATGTATGTATGGATGTGTTTCATAATTTATTATGTCAACTCGGTGACACCATCACGACGACACCGATGACGATGATACATTTTTGGTCAATTGTTTTTGCATTTGGAGCGCCCTTTTATTTTATGTGGGTATCCAAGTGTGTGTCCGTCTCTTACTTAATTGAAGAGAATTTCACTTTTTTTATTAATTTCATCATAACGAGGTGGAAAACAAGGCGAAAGATAAACAATGACAACATCAACTTGAAATAAATAAATTGAGTGTCAGGAAAACAAATATTGGATATAATTTCATTATAATTATTATTATCACAATAGGAATTATTAAAATACCACACAAGATAATTTTGGATGCAATGAAAATAATAAGAAAAACTGAGACAGGTGTGGGAAGCTATATATATATATATATTGTATTAGTTAACGTTCTATTTTTTGTAGTGGAGTGAATCGGGGAAAATGCTGTATAATGTATAAACACCAGACATCAAACCTCGTGTTGATGAACCAACAAAAAACATGTGACAATGAGTAACAGAAACAAATACTGTAATTACCTTTTGTAAATATTTGGACTTAAAGGGTTAAACAAACGTAATGGGATTCCTAAACAATATATTAAAATTCGGTATTATCCATCTAAATTTGCATAAATCTATTATTCTGTCGCTTATATAAATATAATTGGCTGGCCTAATTTTCCCGGAGATACGATTACAACATTTAAATGTGTGGACTAATCCTCCTAATTGGGTATATATCTAATATTCATTCACATATATAAATTTAATTGGCTGGCCTAATTTTCATACTAAATTGAGTGGTTTTAATGTATGCAAATATATAATTCTGAAATTGCATAAATTTTCGACTAAGACAAGCAAAAAAACATGTAAACCTCAAGTACGATTTCAATGAGTTTCTATTTATTTGAATAAGTTTTAATAAATGTCAATAATATTTTTCCAAATCCAATAATAATCTAATTGTATTATAGTTCTAATTCCATCAAATAATGTAATTAGCATGTTCGTGCTTTCTCCGAATATACATACTTTTTGAAATATTGAATCCTAATAATCGTGGAATATTCTTAAATATACAATTGCTTTTTTATTTAATAATAATCAATAGCAGACATTTTGTATTATTTTTTAAAATAATACATTTTAGATTACCTTGAACCGTTATAATTCAAATCCATCTACCAGTTAGTTAATTTGACATAAAATCCTCAAATATATAAACAACTAGCAGAAATGAGACAAACAAAGCAATGTCATTGTTAATTGTTCAGATGCTAGACAGCGATTCGTGTACAAGAATTATTTTGTATCTCTAAAGAAGCCATTATCTGAACTGAATAAACGAAAGACTTAAGACACAAGCACAACATGCAAAAACACACTGAGGAGATTTGCCATTCCCAACAAAGCGTATTCAAATTATGCTTAACTCTTGGCAATATCTCACTTCCGAACCTATAATTTGCTGTAGCATGCAAGCGTTTCATTTTAATTGTCAGCCATCCCGGCAGCCATACAGTGAAGAGTAAAGAACTTGGCCAAGACCTCAGATTCTCAATCGGATTAGTGGGGTGTTGTATCTGTCATAGTCATAGAGCAGCATAGATGATTTTTATGATGATGATGTTGTGGACGATGGAAATGAAGTGGTTTTTAATTGCAGTCAACGATAATTGTAAAGAAATTGATGTGATTTTTATTTGATGGCGAAGTAGGAAAAATATCTGGTTCGGAATCAGTTCTGGTTCGGCCGAGTGATTGAGTGAAGGATACGCGTTTTGGGATGAGATTATGACAAGTGAAACAAGATATGAATGAGCTGGGTCGCTGTCTTTTTTGTTGTTTTTGTTTTATTGGGTAAAAAGAGCTGCAAGAAAACTTACCATAAAGCAAACAAGAATACCAATGCCGATCGCTTAGAATGGTTAAGTGGCTTTGGCAAAAACAAAGACAAAAGATCTTCGTTACTCCAGTCAGTCTATGCGACTGGAAACTGATGTTCCAAACAAATGCAGCGAGCAACAACTTTCAACAGAAATATAGAACGTTATAGGCCTGCTGTATGTTAATATCAAGTGATACGTGCTGCTGGACGTGGGTATTGGCTCTTGACTGTCGGATGCTGATGACGATGTTAATATGGTGGTTAACTGGCACTACCTCCTCTCGTTACAGTTGTGCTGCAGATGATGATATGATTTTGATACTGTTGCTGCTGCTACTCCATGAAGCAACTCGCCTGGCTAATAATATCAACACACGTATGTTTGCGTGTGTGTGTTTTAAATTGCTGATATTTGTGGCAGGAATGCTGTTATACGCTGATTTTTGCTCTTTGTTCACTTCTACCGCCGATCTTGCAGAAGAGAACCTGTTGTCGTTGTGGCAACAACAGAAGACAGATAATGATGCTGCTGTTGCAGATGATGTGGTTTTTGGTTCAAAATCGTTGCTGGCATGCGAGTAGGCTGGAAAGCACAACAAGTGGATAACTGTTGTAAACTGTGCGTACGGCGGGCGGGTGTGGTGTGGTGGAATAACTTGATTTAATGTCAAACTCTTGGGCCAAAGAACCAAATTTTTCGTTTGTTTTGCTTCAAGATTTGTATGTATGTAATATATGCAATTCTTGGCTCGTACCAGTGTACACCACTATGTAAATTGTTCACTGATTTCAAAGAAAGGGGAAGATGACCACTTGAGAGATTTAGAAAGTGTGCTCAGGCCTTGTTAAATTCGTATTTATTTATTCCAGTTTAAAAATCCCCTGGCTTAAGTTTAGATCACTCATAACAACCACTGGACGTATTGATGATGAATTTTGTTAATTTGTTTGACGATATTATTCTTCTTTTTTGTTTGTGTGTGTGCTTTTTTTAAATTATATGTTTTCTTTCATAGACTTTCTTTTAACATTTCTTTTCCGTTTTAATGAATGACGTTTAGTTTGTGGACACAAGTTTTAATTTTAATTTAATGACCCCTTTGGGGGTAACCGTTATAAATTTGCTGAACACAATCTTGGTACACGAATAACAAATGCTAGACTACCACTCTTTCACATCAAATTATCGCATTTAATTAATTTTTATTTGTTTGTTTTTCTTCTTCTTTCTACTCAAAATTAATTTTCTTTTCTTTATTTTCGTTGTTGTTGTTGTTGCTTTTGGTTGTCACAATTTCTTTTTCATTTCTCTTTATGTTGTGTCGGCGATTTGTTTGCGGCCGTATTCCCAAAGCCTGTCCGACAAAGGCAAATGTAAAACAGCAACTGAAGATCCGAAAGTAATAAGCTTTAGCATTAAGACACATTTGTGACTGCTGTGGACGACGGCTGGCTGCCTGGTGCGACGTTTCGGCTTGGTCTGTTGGGGAGTTTTGTTGTTGTTAGCTTGACGGATCGAAACTATCTTCAGTCCGTGGCAGAGGATTAGCCATTGCCTCAAGCCAGTGACTTAGTAGTTGGCGTCACAGTCAGCGTCTGCGTTGCTGAGAAGAGCAGCATTCAAAGTCACACTCTTGACTTAGCCGTCTGCCTTGACTTTGACTTTGGTTAAGTCCACATTACCGCTATCGTCTTTCTGTCAACAACAAAACACAAGAATTCTCACCGTTAACAGCAACAAGAGCACCAGCAACACAACATCACCATCAGCCTCAACCTCAAACAGTGTTACAAAGTCAACGAGAAAAATCTTCTCAGAAATGGTTGGTTGGTTGTTTGTTTGGTTGGGGGTTCGTTCGTTTGCTTGTTGGTTGGCGATATCTTCGTATATTTGTTGGTGGACCAAGATTTGGTAATGCCTTGTTTAAACAATCATTTCTCTTGTTGGATCTTTTGCGTTGCCTGTCTCTTTCGTCAGTGTTTGCCGAATAGAATCTCCTTCGTCACTGATAAGTATTGTGGTTATATGAACATGAGAAGACGTTATGAACTCCCGGTATATGTATGTTTGTATACATGTGTTCGTCGTTCTTGCAAAAAAACAAACAACAACATAAACAGAAAGCGAATCCAAGACACCAAAAAGAGCGAAAAGAATATATCTTTAGCAAGCATGCGCAACAATTGGTTATATTTTGAAATACCCTACATGTCATTTGTATCATCTGTAGGTTAGGTATGTGGGAGGGTGAGATGATATATTTTAATATATTTTCAATATCATCACCTCTAATGCAATGCAGTTATTCCCAATGTATTAATTTTATTGAACTCAATATTCTATAATATCTGGTATTTGAATTTAGACTAATCATTTCATAACGTGTACAATCGTCGTTCATATTAAAATTCATATAAAATTGTAATACAAGTATATACGAGTCAGTATTACCGCGTGTAGGGTAAACACACAATGTTTGGCAACGTCTTGTATGTTTTGTTTTTATGCTCTTATGGGCTATACGGAGATTCATGTTTTTATTGTTTATACAAAGCTTTACAGTTTCAGCAGATGATGATGGTGTAGAGGAAGAAAATAACAACAAAAATCACACACGCACACAGTTACGATCATTTGCTATATCATTATCCAAAGAAATCCAAAGCAGAATTTCAAACCAAGAACGCAGAGTTAAGGAAAAACTCACAAAAGTAAAAAAATAAATAAATAAAACAGCGGGACCCGTTTAAACTAAATGAAGTGTTCAGGTTGTGTTATTCCCTTTAGTCGTAAGGCAAATATTACTATCAGCCATAGTGAAAAGGTGCCTCATCGGATTTGTACGTCAAGCTTTTTTATTACATCAGTTTCATATAATTATATTATATAGACCCATTAACAAATGTCTGTCCGTCGATATCGATAACTCCCGAATGGAGTAACCAATTTGAAGGTGGAGATTACAGATATATTCTGTACTGAATGGTAAAAATATTGCTGAAGAAATAAACCAAACATTGGACAACCGAATATTTATACTCAGCCAATATCATGTCTGATGATGGGGCCAATCGGTACAATCCTTCTAGTACCTCCCTACCGAGTAATTGAATCCCATTTGATCCAAACTTTGCACATCATAAGGTTTTCTGATACCCCCCACACATGGTTTCTACATATTACCAATTGATTTATACCAATCTGACCTAAACCTAAATCCGAAGATAGGGTTTATTGGGTAACTCCACTATATATAATAAACAAAACTTAAAAATAAAGTTCAACATACAAGTATGTTATTATAATAGGGTAGTCCACATTCCACATAGTCCACTTATATTACACATATTTTTGTATAAAATATTTATATATATTTGAAAATATGGCCGAAATATACATCAGAACTACTTCTGGAATTCGATTAATTCCCACCCTGCTCTAAATTTTTTGAATTATAAAACATTTTGTAATCTTTTTATTTTTTCTTTTCATTGCAGCAAAATATCACAATTTGTTTGAAAACACATTAGGCAGACTTCACTGTATTAAAACCAACGTGCTTGGCAAGTAGTTTTAACGACAACAACAACAACAACAACAGCAAGACATGTACGCAGCTCGGAGTTATTTTTTTATATTTTACGCTTCCCCCCATTTTCATGGTAAGTCTTTCAGTTTGGAGCTCTTCTGCTTGTTTGTTTGCTTTCTTCATTGTATTTTCTTTGTTGTTCTTGAGGCGTGCTGTCTCTTTCCTCTTTGTTGTCGTTAGTTTTTGTTCGTTTTCTTTCGGACCATTTGTTGTTGTTTGGGGTTCTTTAGCCAGGCTTTTATTCGTTTTCGTGGCCAACGACTTACGCGCATAACGGTTCTCATTAAGGCCAACACACTCTCCATTCACATTATTGCACACACTCTTGCACACACATATGAGAGAGTGTATGTCTTGCTATGTGCGTGTGTGTTTGTGTGCAGTGTCATAACACGGAGCATAGATGACTCCATGAAGAAGCCAAACACTAAACCCCACCGAAACAAACGGTAGACGGTGTTGGGTGAGTGAAGCTATTCAAATGATTTTCTCATGGAAAGCAAAACTCAAAACCCCGTTTCTAGTCGGTCAGCTGATTAAACGCAGTCAAGTGTTATTGAGGTGGTGTGCGCATTCGTCTGCGGTGTGGCTTTCTCATTGTAAGCAGAACGCTTACGCAGAATATATCCGTACACGCTATTAGTTTGTTTGTGCGAGTGTGCTGAAGAAGAGTGTAAACTTTCTCCGAAACAAATGTGGAGACTCTTTTCTTCTCTCTTTACTCCCCAAATTGAGTTTTAACCATAACCATAAATAAGGCACACACTTACAACCATTCCGAGTTTTTATTTTGAAAAAAAAAAAAATGGAATAACTTTTTGTTTTAACTTTATAAGGGAAAACTGTTTACAAAACACTCACTTTTGTATAGAAAATATTTTCATAAAATTCCAAATCTGATTCAATCCACTTTGGCAGGCACAAAATCAATAACTTGATACTGGCATTCTTTTTGGAGAACTTTTATCCACTGATTTTCTTTTTTTAATTTTCTTCTTCTTCTTTTTTATTTATTTTTTTGTTTCGGTATTTAAATTGTTGTGGTTATTTTAATGGCCGGCATTTATCGTGTAATGAAATTCATAATCTATTTATAGACAATACTCGCACTAGAACACCAAACAACACCGAAGCGTACCTTACCGAACCGGACGATCAATTGGCAGAATGGATATTTCTTTTCTGCACGACACTGACGCGACCATCACCACCAACTGCGGACAAATACCGAACTTCTTGTTGTTCTTCGCTATTGCTCAGCCTGGCTGGAACTATCTTGGTAACTCGCACAAGTACTCACTACCAAGTCACTCACTTGCCATACACCTGAGCTACCAACACACCTGAGAATAAAAGAATGTTCTTCTTGGTGGCAATGTTCTTTTTTGTCGTGTTTTTTTCGTTTCTTTGTTTTTTCTCTTTGATTTGTTCTTCAGTTCTTGTTCATCCCGTCGATGATGAACTTGAGACCTTGACACTGAAGACGTTTCTTACCAACTGAGCCAAATGTGTGGAAGAGAAAACAAGTTATATCATGTTCGTTGGTCAATTACAGCAAATCATCCACACATCCAGCAGCTAGCAAGCAAGAAGTCAGGCCGGCAGGCAGTAGGCACCAATACAAACACAACTTCTCATTGTTCGTTCGCCGGGATTTGGTATTGTGGCTCTAACGAATGAAAGGAAATGAAACAGATTACAGTTGCCAATGCAACAACACACCACTACAGTCATTGGTGACAATATCAGCATTGCTATGCCTTCCAAATGACACAATCACTCCACAACCCCATCTCAGCCATTGCCCTTTGCCACCGGTAGTGATGATAAGATTAGGCGTACGTGTAATGCATTAGTAATAGGTGAGTGAGCATAATGCGATCAGGCCTCCTGACTCAATGGTGTCATTGAAAATTGAATGTTTTGGTTTTCACACCATGGGATGGAAAAATTATGAATGAAACTAACTGATTAATGCGGTTCAATGTCGGAAAGGGGATACATTTTTTTCTCGATATTTATAAAAACTATTATATTGGAATCATTAAATGTATGAGTGCCAGATCTGATCATTGATTGAAATTGGTTGAATACATTATTCTTGTAATGTTTTCGTTTGTCTTTACAAAATACAGCAGTGGAAATGTTTAAACAGTTTTTCAGGCTTTTCCAAAAGAATACGATTGGTGATTACTATTGGTATAAGAAATAATATTCTTCAACATAAATATCGAAATACGTAGTCGACAGCTAAAGAAAAATTCCAGCAAACTATAAATACATTTCTTAGCATTTTCCATTTCATTGGATTTTTTTTTTTATTCGAATAAATATAAGCTGATGTGGTTTGTGTCCCATATTTGCAGTATGATGGAATACAACTCTGTTACCACTCAACACATATAAATTCGTATTAATAAAGTTTAATGTCTTGTTCTATTTTGAATGAGTGCGCCTAAGTATATGCTATAGTTATGTACATGTCTACTTGTTCAGAATTAGCGCTGTAATTCATTAAAAAGTGGGGTATTCATGCAGTTCTTTTGGTAAAATAGGGAGTAGAGCATAAATTGTAGATTAATGACATCTTCATCTTAATCAAATCAATTTTTTGAATAAAAAAATTATTTTTTCGAAAAAATAAAAATGATTAAGAATAGTGACTTGTAATGGCCAGTATAAGACTATAGCACACAATAAGATTTTGCAGAACTCAAATTATTTAATATTTGACTGAATGTAGAGTTTTTCTTTCCGATAGATTAAAATCTATAAAATTGTAAATTTGTTATTCCTCATAAAATATAATGGCAGTTAAAAACCTTTTCGTCGACACCTTTCAAAGGCAAAGTTTTACTTTAAGGAGACCTCCTTCCATTCTCGGTTTCAAAAAATTGATTTTTTTATTTAATTCAAAAATGTTCCTATAAAATTTCAAATGAAAATCTCAACAACTCATGAAGATATACCTGATTTATTGTATTAGAATTGGTTTGTAGTCAAAAATTGGGAATCCAATAATCCAGAGCCAGACATGTATGCCGTTGGAGTTTTTGGATTCGGAAGTTTCAGTATTCGGAAATGATGCCCGCCATCGAAAAGAGAGACCTTTCTCTAACCCTTTATGGCCCAATGTTGCCCACAGGCAACAAAAAGTTTTAGAGCTTATATTTATTATGTAGCTAATAGATATGTATTATTTGGATTTCATATGTCAAGACCTGAATATGGAATATATGGATATCAAAAGACAAATCAAAAAAATCAAAATGTTGGTAAAGTTATAAGCTTTTCAATATAGAGAAGGGGGTACATTTGTGTACAGTACTAAGTTGTGTGTACAGTCCAATTTTTTTAAATCGCTTCTTTTTCAAATTGTATGAATTCTGCCATGGTACAATTATAAAAGGTAACAGCAAGTCCCAGCTGATTTGATTCCAACGTAATACTAGTGTCAATATGATTTGACAAATTATGTTTTTAAAAATCACCCAACAGGAAAATTGGGAACGCATACAATTTGTAATTGTTCTTTATTAAATGTGCTCCCGTATTCAACTTACTCAATCTGCCTGCTGGGAAAGTTTGAGGAAGCAAATCTTTCTTCAAGGAACAACTCGCTATTCCCTGCATTTTCATATGTGTTAAACATATATATGGCTATGGCTCAATTATAGGAAAGATGTAGAAGCGATAGAAATATAAATTTGATAGATTTTCATTCATGTTTTTCAATTTTTATTTTGAGAATTCGAAAATATTTCATTTTCAAAATAAAAATAATTTGATGATAATTTGTTTGTTTACATTTTTCTGTCAAATGAGTTGACACTAGTAGAACTTACAACAACAAATTTCTATGTGGTTGTTGTATCGTTTGTTGTACAACAACACTTGCTGTTACCTTCTATTATTATACCATGGAATTCTGCCATCAGAATTATTTTTGATTCTTGTAAATATGAATATAAAGAATATTTTAAAATGATTTTTCTGTCGATTTTGCATTTGGTTTTCTTGATATTGGACTTTATTTTTTCCGAAAGAATGTACTGTATCTCCCGAATGCATATCCTATTTAGGATAGTTGCATTAAATCTGTGAACAGAATTTTTTTCAAAGATTCCGGAAAAAATTCGGGGCTCAAAGAGTTAATTACACAACAATAAACGCCAACGCGGTACTTTGCAGAAATAGTGTTTCAATACAATAAAAAGAACTATTAGTTTTTAAAATTTTTTCTGTAATTTTTAGTAATTTCGTTAATTCTGAATGCCAAAATATACCCATATGATATGCGTAGTTGATCTGAGCTTACATACCCATTTATGATTTCAATCAATTATTCAGCCGAAATCTATGTTTGCATAACATTTAGATTGGTTACCGATGGCGATTTCTATACATTTTGGCAAATATTGAAAACAAGTTTCGAGAAATTTATTTCTCCATTTTGTTAATTTGTGTTATTTTTCACTTTTTTTTATTACAAAAAATATAAAAAATCAAATACAAATAAATAAATTAATTAAAACTAAATATATAAATACGTTATAAATTAAGTTTTTACTCAGTTCGTTACAAAGCGGGCAAATCCGAAAATACTTTTGTTCTAGACGAATACAACGATAGTTGGAGAAGAACAAGGGCGGTTCAGATGCATAAATACTTAAACACTGATGACTTAAGTGCTAACAACCCCGAGTTGTTGACAATGACCATCACTTAGTGGGCGACGCTTCAAGGAGTACTAAAGAAGGGACTGATCAATGAAGGTGGGTGTGCATCAATACAGCGGCTACGTGCTGCTATTGTCATTGAACATAACCTTATTTATCCACGGCACAAACTTTTGAATGTTGGTGTAAACACCCGGCAAATGTTCACGACCACAACCGATTCCCCAAGAGACAAGACCAATCAAAGTTTTTCGGCCGTCTAGGGTTAGGGTCAAGGGACCACCAGAATCTCCCTGGCATGAATCTCGGCCACCTTCTTTATAGCCAGCACATAGAAATACATCATGTATTGCCTCGCGTCGACCGGCAGCGCGGAACCAACGCTGGCAGCGATCGTTGGACAGCACTTCGACATCTACCTCCTGCAAATAAACAAAACAAAACAATGAAATTAATTTTCCGATTCCGTTATAAAATATTAAAAACTCTAACCTGTAATATTGAGGGTACAGTACTTTGACCATGTCTAGTTCTACCCCATCCAGCAACAGTAGCCATTCTGCCCACCAGCTTGGAGTTTGGCGGAGGAAGACATACTGGTATAATGTGTTGCTTGTAGACGACATTTCGATCCAAACGAATCAAAGCCAAATCATTTTTGAAATCAGCCGGATTATAATTTGGATGCACCTCTTTGCGTTCAATACCAAATTCTTCGTGGTTAAGACGTTCTTCTTGGCCACGAACATCCCATTCTCCTAAACGTATCTTCATATTAGAATTTGGAGTGCTGTTAAGAAAAAAGCATGTTACACTACGAACATTCAACCTCAATATTGCGAAACTTACGTTGCCACACAATGAGCAGCAGTAACAACCCATCGATTCGATACCAAAGCTCCTCCACAACTTAGTTTACGAGATAAGAATCCACTTTTGATAAGGGCCACCTGCCAGGGATGCGAACCAAAGCCCGTCGAATGCCCACCAACAATACGATTCGAACGTGTATAAACTTCGCCACAACCTGAAAAACAAGAATAGATTTGAAATTAGTAAGCAATTGTGACGTGTGCATCGTCGCGTGGACTCGATTTAGATCAAAATAGCAGTGCAAGATGCCCGGGTGATTAGATACATAGATAAAGAAGACCATAGTGCAAGAAGACCCAAAGGTGCCAGAAATAATAGAAGAACAACATTACAATGCCCAGACTATCCCAAGAAATATATGGTGAAAGGGGGGTGAAAAGACAACGTGTCTAGTGTTTTAATAGAGATCTGGGTAAGCTAGTTATAATACCCGGAACTGGACGATATGAGCCATCGTTATGCGATGAACCGCTTGTGTAATCATCACCAGCTTCGCCCGTATTCAAATCCAAAACATTTCCCACCGCGTAGTTGGATTCGTTTGGTGGTACCAAGGAATGTGAACTCGAGTCCAAACCACTGCTGCCCGGCCTCTGGACCTGCGGCTCGGGAGGCACATCGAAAAAGTTGTCCAAATGATTTGTTATGCCGCTGTGACTGACAGCACCACCGACTACATGGCCACCAATGTGATTGGTATCATGATCCCACGGACCTGGAGCATTGGCAAAGCCACCACCTCCTGCTGCAGGTCGTGTTGTAATTGGCTTGTAGTGTGAATGCGCTAGGGGTCGATTTGTGGTATAGTGTTGCGATGCCGATGACGAAGATATCTGATATTGGTGATTGTTTACGACGGACGGATAGGGATTGCCATTCGATAGGCCCGAGTGAGTCGTGGAGCTGCTAATCGCATTACTATGTATGGGACGCTTAAGGGATGTTATGTAGGCGTGACTGCTGCTGCTGTGATGCTTGTTGTGATTGTGATGGGCCAAGTCTGGATAGATGTCATATAAGTGTATGATATCACCTGTGGAAAGTAAATATAAATTGTTTGGACGATATTTTCCATTGTTTCTTTTAATGTTTTACAATCATTGGGTAATTCTATTTACAAGTCCATGTTTAGGAGTATATTTTGGGAAGTAACTTAGTCCAATAGATTTTACTTAAATTCTTCAGTCCCTAGTCTCTGCAATTCTTCCATGGCATGTGTCTGAGTTTTATTAGCATATACCCTACCACAATGCAATTGTTAGAAATGATATCAATGTAACATACAACTTTGATGATCTCACTAGTAGAACTGGGCAAGGGAATATTTTATGTAAGTGCCTTACGACCCACTTGCATATTACAGCTGATTTGAATGTAATTAAATGACAGTAAAGTACTCAAGGATAGATTAGAAAGTTTATTCCATCAATTATGTTTTTACAACTTTTATTTTTAACAATAAAATAATTTTCCTCGCACAGAAAGTCTGTGTCTTAAGTCTTTTGTTTATTTTTCCCCTCATTATCGTTAAAACAATGGTCAAAACTTTGCACAATGTAATTATTTCAAATGAACTGTGCAGATTTCATTTCTCACAGATGGTTACAAGTGTTACATAACTCTAGTCGCCAGTCCAGTAATGTCATTGTGTTTTTTCTCTGACGAAAAATGTTTCATTTACACAGTGATAAATAACTATGAAATAAAACAGATTCACAATGTGTCAGAAAAGACAACTACCGGCAAAATCAAGTTAATAACAAGGCAAAGACGTGCAGTCACCACAATTCGTCACAAAATATTAACGTAATGATGAGATAACTGCTTCTTCTTCTTGTTTTTCATTGTCAATTTGCACTTGGGTAATCCCTCTTCCCGCCGTCTTTATGTTTTGTAATTAAAGCAAGACACACGGGAGGGAGGCGAGAAGTCGTAAAACGGTGGGATAGACGGCGAAAAGACGTCGCTGTCGTTGCATTGCAACAAGTTTTCGAGGTAGTAGTAGTTGTCAGCAAAGCTGGCGATGGAAGTCAAATCATCAATCCAAGGAACGCGAGACCTTCATTAGCACTTGTTACTCAAACCTGTGGACGGACAGATTAGCGGACATGAAAACGTAATATGTATTCAAAATTGTCGGGGTGGTGGTAATGGTTGCTGTTGATATTGTTGTTGCTGCCAGTGATGATGGCATAGTTCATCTTGTCTCGAAGAAGAATTCGACCGTTTGAGCAAAAACGTCACACTTGAGCTATTTCAGTTCCTATATGGGTACAATTCAGACAAACGAACGAATGAATGAATGAAGCTATCTCCCCCGTCTTTGGGAAACTGTTAAGCGTTGTGGCAAAAAAGAAAAATTATGTGAATTCATTTAGAAAAGCAGTGTGCGAAGCGAAAGAAAACATGAACACTTTAACTTACACACATACATACACTCACACCTTTACACACCAATTGGAAAACATGAATGCCTTAAATCATAACAGCTATTCGCCACAACGGTTTTGGGGGTTTTTTAAATATAAAAAAACAGTTTCACTTTTACTTTGGAAATAAAATTCCAAAGAATTTTTCTTTAACTAAACATAGGCCAAAATTCAAATAGCGAAACATAGGGCAAAATATTTTTTTTGTACTAAAAACTTTGTTCCAATATTACCAAGAAACGCTGGATTGTTAACATTTTTCTAATTTTTAATTCGTATTGTAAAAAGTCAATCATTTGATTTTGAAACATTAATATCAAAAATGTTTTATAAGTTTTTCATATTGGCCTCTATTTTAATTTTTAGTAATACATGTTAAATGCAAATTTGGATATTGCTTAGCATATTAAATGCCGAGGGACATAAATCATTATTAAATTATTAAATGTCCAAGAAAGCCTACAGGTTAGTTAATAGTTACCCGCTTGCGAATATAAACTTTGTAACATATGTTCTTAAACATATTTATCTTCTGAGTTGTTTTTTTGATTTACGAGTGAAACAAAAACAAAAATTAAAAAGTTTGTAGTTTAACTTTCAAAGTCTCTCTTAACTATATCATACTCGAGTGTTTCTTATTTTAAATTTAGGCCGTCAGCAGTTTTATATAAATATTTTGCAGAACAATTTTTATGGCCATTAAATTTGTTATTTCTCTTTCGCAACAACAAATGAATATACATCGAATTAGTCCAAATTACACTCTATTTCCTTATAATTTATAACCAAGAATCAGGCTACTGCTGGCATTGAATTGTAAATTTTCGACTCGGCTTTCTTTGTAGACTTTGCTATTTATTATGCCACACTTTGTGGGGGGGAATATTGAATGCAGTCGAACGAAGCAAGCACATGTTTCATGCCAGAAAACAACTGCATTTGTTCGCCCATTTACAAACATTTTACCGACCAGGTAATTGGCTTTACGATTCTTGTTTTGTGGTAGCGTTTATTGTTTTTTTTTTTTTGGTTACAAGCATTCATTCATTTTGTAGAATAGCTTCAAGTTTTGCGAAATTGATCCACAAATCTAAATTGAAATATTGTTGCATTTTATTTTATTTGAAGTGAGTAAAGTTGCACAATATGGCACATGTACATCTATACAATGTGTACGCTTGTAATAATTGTATATATGCGGGTGTGAAGTTGTTGTTTTTTCTGCTTTTGTACAACAAGCATTGCCATTGCCTTAGCTGAGGAGTTTGTGTTCTGTTTTGAAAGCTCAATTATTTCGTTTATTTTAATTTTTTGGTTGATTTTATTGTTGAATACTTACTGGTGTTGTTGACTTGACCTTTGTTGGTTTCCTCTTCACTTGTTTCCTCCTTATCTACACAGCAGGACCATATCATGCCACCGGAACATAAATCCAAAGGTTTGCCACCGCTCAAGACACATGATATCGATAGGCCACATTCGAATTTTTGACCACGATAGCGGCAAGTTTGCGGTATCACTGAAATATATTAAATATTTATTTAGTTGCAGTCGAAAATATTTTATTATTTTAATCTCTCAAATATTTAATTTTCTTCATTTCCTAACATTCTAAATTCTTGAAAATCTTTCCGAAATTCAATTGTCTCTTGTTGTTTGCAATAATTTCAATATTTTTTGAAGCTAGGATAGATTTTAAATAAAATTATGTTCAATATCTGCTCTAAATTCAATATCCATATTTTAAGGATCTCTGACTCCATGACATATTTCATCTTTTAAAATTTCAACTGTTGTCCAGAATTGGCGGTATTTTAATGAATAAAAAAATAGAACAAAAAATGTACATGTCTCAATTAATATATTAAATATTAAAACTTATACGAAGGGCAAAAATCAAATTACGTAAAAAGTATTTGATTCCTATATATTTCGGTTTTTGATTCCTTGCGTAGGACTTTATATATATCCAAATGTCTTATTTTGTAGATACAATTTTGGACCCTATATGGTGTAACCCAATTAATATAAGATCATACATTGAGAGGAATTTGTGTTAAATGCCCCATAAATTTATTAGCAACACTCTACAAAATCTAAACACTCATTCATTCAATAACAGATAGTGAAAAATTGCAATACTTCTTGCCAGCATTTCCATAACAGAATTTTCTCCATAGTAACCGGGTCCACTGCGTCGTGACAAGGCATCCAGTATAATGAGATCATGTTCCTGTTGTGGCGTGGGGTAACCCAGCGAGGAGAGGGAATGACTGGAATGGACAAAGAGACACATAATTTCAAATGTCCATCTTAGCCAGGTGTCCTTTTTGCATGCGTGGCGGCGACGTTTAGTTCTTGAACAAAACATTGATACAATCATTTATTTCACTTCTTCTATGAATTGCTTTGCTCGTGTTTTCAATCGAATTTCTTTTAGCAATTTTGCATTGTTTTGTTTTGCGTTTCTTTTTTTCTGTTGCTTCACAAAGAAATTTTCCACAAAAACAAAAAATAATAACAACAAAAACTATGGTAATCGACGTCACTGATTTTCACGTTGGCGTTGAAAGCGAAAGGAAAATTTGTACACTTGTTGTTGTTGACGGTGGTTGGGGTTCAGTTTGGGGGGACAGGGGATTGGGAGTAATTGAAAAAAGAAAGCTTTTTTTCTGGGATCAGGCACACCAAACGAACAAAAAATATTTCCTCGAATGTTTTGCGTGTTGCTAAAAATTTTCACGAACCGCTCTTCTTCGAATACAAATCAGAACTAAACGCCTGAAATGAAACGCTTTGTCTTGCAGGTACCAAAGCCAACAGCAGTAGCAGCAGCAGGTTGTAAAAGAAGTAGAAAAAACAGCAATCACAATTTTTAATGAGAAGAAACCAAGTGAAGAAAATAATCCAACAAACAACACAGAAATAAACTCAGCGATTTCGTATCGCATACGCTTTTCACTTTTCAACCCAATCCAGCCATCTTCATCCGTCCAACTACTCAGCATTTCTTCATTCATCCACTATTGCAGCCTTTCTTTGCACTTGTTTGCTGTCGTCGCCGTGGTCGTCATCGTCATCGTTGATGTTTTTGTTTTGAGTTTTATATTTATTTCGGTTGTTTTCTTTTGATTAAAGTTTTTTTTTTAATTAAACTCGTCTGTGGCTTAGTCGCTTGTCTTCTTCTTCGTGTGCACCGTCTTCCAGTTCAACCGAATGGCATTTTTGTGATGAATGTACGAACGTACGCATGCGCACTTCAGCAAAATGCTGTAATTGAATTGTTGTTTAGTGTTGATGTATATGGATGTGTGTGTGTGTGTGTGTGTGTGGAAGAGGAAGCCACTATACATTATTCTCCTCTTGTTGTGGGTGGTTGGAAATGTTGGTGCGAGGCTTCTTATGTTGTTGTTGTTTCTTCAAAACGGAATCAGAAAAGTGTTGATTTGATACTCTTTCGTCTAACAGTCTGAAAATTGTTTCTATCGACGTCTATTAAAAACTACACCTAACACGATGCATCTATTGCCTGTTGTAGTTGTTGTACAACTTGCATAAATTGGCTTGTCTTAATATAATGTTGGTGCTATTGGTGGTGTTGTTGCTGCAACAGCTACATGATTGTGTCCGGGCATTGGAAAAGTTGTTTTCCTGGATTTTACGGACACACTTGCCACAATTGACTGTCGATGGCTCCATTCGACTCTGTCGTTGGTGGCGTTGCAGCTAGCTGTTTACTCGCTTACAGGTACATATTAATGTCTGAATTGCATGCCATTGAACTTGTTGCACCGACAAAACGATCTGGTTTGTTTTGATAGTTGTGCTCCAAAAAAAAAAAAAAACTGCCTTTGGGGCGAAATTATTTATGTTCGAGCGAACATAATTTAGTTTGAACTTTTGGCTATCAATATTTTCATTAGCTAATTGTTACATGAAATGCTGAAGAAATATTTTATATATATAAAAGTTTTTTGGTGATATATTATATATGTATAATAGCTTTACATTCCCAATAGATGATTGTTTCAACAACAAATTGCACAATCAACTGACCAAAAATCGTTGCCAATCGAATTTCTCTTCTTATTTGTGATTTATTCAAATAGAATAATTATATGAGCATTCAATTTCTATAAAATTTTGGTGTAATAGGTAAATAAAATATATCAAAGTTATCCAAATTATGAATCCATCTGTGCGAACACTAGATTTATAAATGTTGAGTATTCCAGTTCAATTTAAATAAAATGTTCATTTTCAGAAAAAATTGGTAGGAAAAGTTTATACATATAAACTCAAGTTTTATACACACAGCCTTAAGGCTGAAATGTCTGTCCGGCTGGTTAATACCTGCCAATCTAGTTGGTGGTCCTTCTAGTACCACCCCTTTTACTAAAACTATATCCATCCTTCTGGTACCTCCCCCAAAAGGGTCTATATGTTGAAAATATGTCAAAAACTCAGGTGAAGGGGAATGTACCTTTATATATATATGATCTAATGTGTTATTATTGGGAAAAGTCCGTCCGTCTGGCTGGATCGTACATTAATACAAATTTTACGTATCGTAATATTTCTTCAATACTTAAATCATGTTTGCAGATAGGGCATATTTATATAATTTCCTTCCAATCGACATACTATAGTAGGGAGTTCCGGATTGTGGACATGCTAATCTTTTTTATAAAAAAATACAAACTAAATTATATAACTAGAATTTGATCCAAATCATAATTGTTTCCGCTAGTAATCCAAAAGATTTACTATTTTTGTCCAAAAAAAAAATTGGCCCAGCACTATTTGTAAAATTTGAATATGATTATATCCTTATGGAAGGACACTATAAATAATGATTTTGATGATCTTATCTAAATGTGATATTGGTATTCGATATTGGTATTTCCTACGAACACAAATATAACTATGAGGAGGTTATACAAAATCTGTGAAGTCTGGATGTGATACGCACAGACTTACATTTTGAATCATAGCCGAAATTAATTTCAACAATTTGTGTGTGTGTGTGTTTTAATGTCTGTTTCTTGTCAGTTGATCTCTTATTTCGTTGGTCATGTTAAAAAGGGTGCAAGCAGATATCACACACACGCACACAGAATGACGAACGGTCATTTGATGGCTTGTCGTCGTTGTGGTCTTTTATTTGTTGCTGTTGAAAGTCCGAAGTAATATATCCAAATTGCAGAGTAGACCAGGGCAGAATCTTGTCTTCTGGTTGTTTTAGGGTGCTGGATTAATGAATTACTTTCACTTGAGCAGCTCAAAGACTTCCCTTCCGAGATGTTTACACATAAATCAACTCTGCCTTAATTGGTTTACATGATGAGTTGATGATGATGATTGGCGTGGTATGGAAAGAAGGTGTTTCTTTGGTTGGGGTTATGGGTTTTAAATTTTGTAGAAAAACTTTTTGAGGTTTCTTGTCTCGAATATGGATGGAATGATCATAAAACTTAAATACGTTTTACAAGAAGTTCGCTGTTTTCAAATAGGGCTTATGTAAGAAACATTGTGTTGCAGTTGAAATAATTTATTGGTCATATCGAAGTGGTTAAGTCTAAATTTAAAGATTTTATGTTGTAGTTTGAAAGTTAAACTAAATGAATGCTATCATTTGTTACCACTGGGTAAATATGAAGTAATTGATGAATTCGTTTGTACCTTCTATCCTGGGTACATATAGCGTAGTGTCCGGCAATATTTTACAATTCATATTTAACCATTTACACATTTTAAGATGAGGATCAGTGGCGTGATCCGAAACTGTAGTCTTCCCGGCAAACAATGCCATACATTCCCCACTAATAAATAGTTGTTTATTATAAAAACAACAAACTGGGACTCAGCCTGAATATTTTGCAAAAACAAATCCCAAATAGGTGGTATCCCAAATAAACCGCCAACACTACTGAAGTTTGGCAAATATTTCAATTTTATATTTGCATCATATACATAATCATATGAAATTTATTAGTTGATGCTATTAAATACGTGCTTTTGTTTTTATTTGGTATCAAGTTCGATCTAATTGTTGGAATGAATTCGTCTTAGGGCATGTGATCCTGTTTTTACCAGTTTGAGATTGAACGTTAAAGTTATTGTTATCCAATACAAAATACTCGATTTTCTAGCTAATATAATTCAATATTTGAAAAACCAAAATAATTTATAATTAATTGTACATTTTTTGAATCCATTCGTTTTTATGGTGCACAGATGAGAATGAACATTTGGTACAATTTTGATATGAACAAACTACAGCATGACAAGAACATTAAATGATGGTTTAAGTCTTCCGTATTTGTGGTGACATTTTTCAGTATTTTAGCTTCGTGAAATTAAAATATTAGTGATGTCGCTCTTCGTATGGGAGGTTGTTCGAACTCGGTCATGAGTGTTATATATAAATTCGGGCTGAGTTCTTTGATATGAAATATTTTAGAATGTATATCGTCACCATAAATGCAAACGGACGTAACTACAGAAAAATTCGAAATTGACTTTTTGTCAATTGATTTTTGAGCTAATTAAAGAAATTCTAACGGATGTAACTACAATAGCATGTTATTAATAATGCAAAAGACGTAACTACACTCCTGTAAAACACTAAAGATAGCAATTCTGAACTTATATAAATGTGGAAACTCTTTCTGCTAAAAAGGGGAGCCCCATATAATTGCACATCCCAAATATCGGAACTTTGAGAAGTTCTGCCACCAATTTTAACCAAATGTGCTGTAATTTTACACTTTGGATAATCATTGAGTAGAAAATCTCAATACAAGAAATTATCGCTATTGAGCCATGTTATAGAAGTCGGACGGGAGCGACTATATCCGCTCTCCTCTTTGTGTACATACAATATCGCCGTATGATCGTTATATGTGCCGATTTAAACCAAGCAAAACAAATGTCGATGGAACAGACAAAACATGTTTGTAGGAAGCTTGATATGTAATATGAGAACAGATGATATATGAACCAATTTCTTATAATCCATACACATGTAATTTTGAAACCTATGCAACATTTCATGTCATTGAAGCAGACTTAGGATACTTTGTGTACTATTTATATGAAATCTAACAAAAGTATGTATGAGAGTTATACGAATAAATCTGGACCGATTTGAAGAAAACTTGACACTAGCCTTTCGGTACCCTGGAGCAATGCTCATGCAATGTTCAAAATTTCATCTCAATCATACAAACTTGACGTATTTTGTGCACAAAATACATAGAATATATATCTAAATCAGATACTCTGCATCATACTAGGTTATTTGGTGCACCTTTTAGGTAAAAATGTTAGAAAATATACGAGATGTATCTAAGTTGATTTTAACAAAAC